AATTTTAATTGAATTGTAATTCAGATCTGAATTCAAGTTATGTTTCAATCGGTTGTCAAACGAGTTATGAATTGATTGAAGAGTTGTCTCAAAGAGAAGACAATACAAGACATGAAAGACAACCACTAAATACAGTAGAAGTGATTGAATCAGACATTGAATCCAATGATGGCATCGATTGTGATATTAATGTGGAATCAGATAACGAGACAATTGACGGAACTGTTGACGAAAGTGTCGGAAATCAAAGCATAAGTATAACTGAAGAAACAAACGCTGAAAGTGTTGTTGAAAATGAAAACAAAAATGAAATAAAGGTTTTCAATAATAATGAAAACATTAAACAAACAGAAGAGTTGTCTCTAAAGGAAAACATTATAATTAATAAAACTCCAGACAAAGGGTTTTGTGTCGAAGAAAACACTGAATCAGACATCGAGTCAAATGATGGCATCGATTGTGACATTAATTGTGATTCAGATAACGAGACAATCGGTGGAAGTGTTGATCAAAATGAAGACATGAATGACAGACAAGACTTGAATATTAATGAAGAGAAAAGTGAATTCAATTTAAATATTGGGAATCAATTGAACATAAAATGCGAGAATAATTGTGAAACAAATAGTGAATCGATTGGAAGTAATGAAAGAGACAATAGTTGTGGAGATGAAGACATGGATTCAAAACAGAATAACAATATATCGGAAGTTAAGAAACAATTGTCAATTCGGAGGTATTTCTGTCCACAAGAGAACTGTTTCCGACATTTTTCGTGTTCGAGTTCTTTGGATTATCACCGAAAGAATGGCACTCATGAGTGTAGAGACAAGACATACATCTGTGGTATTAATGCATGTGATTATAAGACTTCATCTAAACATGAGTTACAGAAACACATATCGAGTGAACACAAGAATCGTTTTGTCTGTGATTTCTTGGGATGTGATAAGAAGTATGATTATAACGGAGAGTTGAAACGACATAAACAACGTTCGGGACATACCTATAGGTGTGATGTCGAGGAATGTGAAGAAGTGTTTGTCAGTCAAAGAGATTTATCTAAACATAAATATAATAAACACAACTCCATTAACCAAAATGAAGACATGAATGAAAACTCAATTGAATTTCAGAGAAAATGTGACAATAATTGTGAAACAAATGCCAAAAGAAAAGTGAAATCAAATACAAGTGAAGCGAAAGACAACGAAACAGAAGAGTATAATAACGGGTCGAGTGATGAAGAAATGGACAGCAATTCAGACACTGATTACTCTGAGAGGAAGACTAAGAGAAAGAAAATTAATGTCAAAACTGACGGTCCATTTGTCTGTGATTTCATTGGATGTGGAAAACAATTTCTGACAAGAATTTCTGTGACTAAACACAAAAGCATACATTTGGGTCATACCTATCGGTGCGAAGACTGTGGAATAGTATGCAAATCCAACTCTTCATTAACTAAACACAAACGCATACATTTAGGTGAGACCTATCGGTGCGATGACTGCGGCAAAACATATCCATCCAAACAGAGGCTAAGCGGACACAAGTCTGCAAAACACGGCACAGCCTATCAGTGCTCTCATCCGGGATGTGATTACAAGACTGGACAGCAATCAGCCCTTAATAAACATCGATTAAGTCATGTAAACGACTATCAATTCAAGTGTTCAATTAATGGCTGCGATAAATGCTTTAAAATCGAGCGAGCGTTAAATGATCACCAAATGAGAGCACATCCCAAAGAGTTTCCGGACATACCATGGATTGAATGCTCGCATACGGGCTGTCAGTATAGGAGTAAATGTGAACCAGACATAAAACATCACAATAAAGAGCACACAAAGCCCTGTATATGTGAAGTGTGCGGAAAATCAATCCCATCAAAGAGTATCGCCACTCACCGCCGGACTCACGACAAGTCGTTGCAATTCAAGTGCGAATGGCATGAATGTGAGCGAAGTTTTAGAACCAGGTGTGCAATGATTGCCCACATGAACGAACACTCGACTGAGACCACATACCGGTGCCAATGGCCCGGTTGTGACAAAATATATTTTAATAAATTTGTTTTATATAATCACGAGAAGAGGCATAAAGTATTAGACCATAAGTGTCATTGGCCTGAATGCGAGTACTCGACCACTAATCCCATTAGACTTCATAATCATATCGATAGACAACACAAGGGTCTGCAGGACTACCGGTGCTCTCATACGGGCTGTGATTATACGACCACTAAATGCGGGGAATTAGACACACATATGAAGACTCATAAAAATTAATTTACAGAAAAAGTGGAAACAATTTAAACGTATTTTATTTATATTAAATAAATGGCATATTTTCCTATTAATTGACAACATATAACATATCGTTTTATATTTTTATAAAATTTCTTATATTTTTAATTTTAATAAAACTTTATTTAAATTTGATTTTTATAATAAAACAATTTTTGTGAATAAATTTTCTAAGTTTTTCTGAGCGTATATTATGTATACATAGACTACACGTGTATATCATGTGATGGTTTTCTTTTGTTGTTTATTGTGTTTGCATTTATGCACTCATTGTTTGTGTCAACCAAAACATGGGATCAATTTGTGGTGATTTTCGTGGTTTAAGTCGAAGACAATTGTATTCAAAGTTAAATGAATTAAAGACTGAAAACAATTGTTTGAAAACAGATTTATTGAGATTTCAATTATTGACA